CATATCTGATACTTTTTTGTAGTATGTGACACTGATGCTTCTGAGAGTGTTGCTTCCGACTATCACCCTCAAGCAGTCCTCTTTTATCGAATGCTTCTCTCTAAGTCGTGTAAACAATTCAATCAACTCTCCGAGGGCACTCAAAAAACGCTTGACCTTGAACTTCATGCAACAACATTTTTAAGTAAAAACATCCCCGTTGATTAGAATGCACTGCATATACACGGTCAAATGGACTATCAAATTTGATATCTGATTTGCCTTCAACCTGTTATTACCTGATTTATTCTCTGTCTAACATGATGAGATCTGGTGGTCATATTATGGGATCTAGTGGTAATATGATAGAATCTGGTGGTAATATAATGGATCCTTTGCACAGAGTGTAAAGAATGTTGTCTCAGTTTTTTTCTCTTCAATTCATTGCCTGTGCTACAACTAAATTCAGGTATAAAACAAATTCACTGTCAATTTTCTAGAAGTTCTGCTAATCGTTTATGGGCACGTGACCGAGTGGTATTCTGACCATAAGACCCGAGTTCCAATCTCACCACGGTCAGTTTGTCAGAAAGGAGACTTTCTGATGTTATTCGACTGGAGGGGTCGATCTCAGCGTGTGATACATTTTGGAAAGTGCCTAACCGAAGCCTTGTGATTGAAATTGGGTAGATGAAACCTTTGCGGGGCGTCGATATCTATGCTAGCACGAAGTCGCAAGTGATTATGTTAGAGGGCTTGAGCGTGCTGGCCTTGTTCAAATTGTTGATCACGCTAGATAACATGCTTTTTCCCAGAAACTGTAATTTTGAATTACACGAATGCTCCTGAACAAGCATCTTCAATAGTGATTGGGTAGCCGCCTTAGTAGGACGGGTACCCTCGAATACGAATATCCAGCTATACATGCTGCTAACCGTTGAATACCTTTCATGAATGTAGGGACTGAATATCCTCCAGAAAGCTTCATTGCTATTGATGTATCATTCTTGCTGATTTCATCTGAATTATTCTCGTGTTCAAGAGAAAACATAATAACATCTGATCCTTTCTTTACATAACTGCATCAATACTTGATGGATTTCACAGAACTGCAACATTAAACGTTGATATGAGCATCAAAGAAGGAAAGAAGAGTAAGGAACAATCCACCTATTATCAACTTCATACGAGTTGCCAACCATTGCTTGAAATCCACCATCTTCAGATTTTCCTCTTTTGTATGATGAATATCTTCACCAGTCTGTGTCTCTTGCAAGTAGATTCTGGGATATCTCTTGATATACATCTGATCTTTCATGCATGGATAATTTCTATTCATTGTACCACATGGACCATGGAACACGTATGCTTACCCCAATTTCATACTGTGATCTGTCTTTCGTTTGTTCTGGTAGTTCAAAAATAAATGATTTTATCAATTTGATTGAAATGAACTTTCTCCATCAACCAAATTAAAATGTCAGCACGTTATTGAAGCTCTATAGTGTAAATATTGCATCTGACTGTACTAAATACCATATATTCTTTCAGTAAGTCTAACATTTTGATTACTTTTCGCCTAAAAGCCCGAGCTATAAGATCATGTCTATGAACAGGTGACTGTTATTCCAGTAGTTCATTTGGAATTTATTTCCATTTTGGATTGCAGGTGAAGGTTATGAAAAAATTTGGGTGGCCATATTGTCTAACATAATTCATTGCATCTTGTGTTCTTCATGATTGTATCGTGGGCTTACCATAAAACGGGATGGAAAGATACAAATTTGGCCCAATTCTGTTCCATCAGTATCATTGTTGATTCCATATTTAAAGTGAATATACTCTTCAGTTGAGTTATTTTTGGTTCATCCTAAGGTATCCTAAACTTATTCAGTTTTAGCATACTTGTCAACTGCATAATTCTGAAACTATTGTTGATTTCTGTGTAGATGATTGAATGTATTAGAATGAATTATGAAATGGTAAGCATGGAAATCCATTGCCAAGACAGTTTTGTTTTCGCCAGCTTCTGCTCCAGCCTTGGGGATGCTTAGATGATATTCGTTCTCTCCATTCACAAATAACAATGGATATTAGAAGGCATCATATAAGCGATGACGTTATCACTTTTTATCTGATTGTCTCTCCTATGAAGTATAAAGTCACGATGACATGCAGTCAATTCACTTCTCATTATTAAAGCAACTTCATTACACTCAGGTGCATTATATAGCCAAGGATATTTTTACAGTGGGTTTAGTTTCTGAATCTATCTTGACTGTCAATTCAGGAGATGGGTCTATTCTTTTCATGAAAAATGAAAAATTCAGATTGCCAAACACATTTCAAGGACAAAGGAATGTTTCTCATAATGTCCAAATATTGAGGAGCCTACAAAACAGAATCAAACAGACATAAAATAGAAGTACGGAATTATATATATATATATATATATATATATATATATATATATATATATATATATAAAAGAAAAACACACACACATCACACTTATATTCATATATATAGATATATATATATATATTAATAATACATTTTTATGTACTCACATGAAATTCAGTTGCGCATGAAGAAAAATAATTAATTTTAATAAATTGATGTAAAAATGTCCATTCACAGAGGTTAAAAATCACCTTTCTTTCAAGACGGTTGGCTTAGGGAAAAATCCAGACCAGAAAATACGATGACGTATATATATATATATATATATATAAAACAAAAGTAATATGTTTTTTTCTCAATAAATCCACATTAGAACCAAAAAATATGTAAAAATTCGTTTGAAGACGGTTCAAGACCAGCACCCCTCTTCTTTTTAAAACAAAAGTATATATTTTTCTATATATATATATATATATATTTTTATATATATATATATATATATATATATATATATATATATATATGATAATGTGGCTTCTCATCGAAATTGTGGTTTATGTAGGAAGCTAGGGATTTGAACTGGCTCCTGAAGTGGTGACTGGAATTGATCAGTCCACGATCATGTGTGATTTCAACATCCAAATTTGACGTGACACTGAAGTCACAAAATCAGACATCAAAATTGTTGTGAAAGACACAAGCAATTGATATGTCTCTTGCTGGTAACTATTATCAAAGTCAAAGAAAATAATAAACTTTAAAAAAAAATACACTGACCTTCGAATTCATGTTGCTAGAATATGTAAGGTTCAGGTATGTATTGTCCCAGCGATAATCACAGTGTTGGTGTCTATAGCACGCAACTTAAAGTTCGGCATCTAGAAAACCAGAATAAAGTATATAGTATTTCATCTCTTCAGATCTATGCACATTGCTTGACACTGCAAATATTCTGCGGAAGTTGCACCCTCTCCACACTTTGTGGCCAGTTGACTTGATGGGGAACATTTATAATACAACGTACTCGGCTAAAAATAAAAAAAAGTAAATAATGATAACATTCTTTTGCTTGTCCCTTCGTTATTTTAGTTAGCATGCACGTTACACCCTGTAATCTTTTACCTGTCCCTTGCTCATAAATGTTTGGTATAGCAGCAGCGGACATAATCAATCATTTTTTAAAGCTTCGGACAAGCCTCATTCTGGATTGCGTTGAAGCTATATATACGTATTTCTAGAAATAAACAAAGAAAGAGAAGTTAGGAGAAGCAAAACGCTCTCGTCCGTTTAACGTCTGCTTCATTGAAATGGTGTAGCAATATGAAATATGGCAAATCAACGTGATTAGTTACAGGAATAAAAATAAGTAAATACCGCTATACCCACATTTTATTTTTAAAGCAATTAGATGTCACAAAAACCAATTTTGAAAACAATGTGGTATTAAAACGCGGGGCCTTTTTTCAGTTTTGCTACCTATTTTATGTAAATGATATAACGGAAAATGCTGAAATTGACATTAGCTGTGAAAATCTGTTTTTGCAAGTGCAATTCAGGCTCACCTTTGTACAAAACATCTCTCTGGTTCTTTCGTAAAAATACTGCGGTATTTCCGCAGGTTTCTGCTAGTAATTGTGAGAATGATTATTATTATTATTATTATTATTATTATTATTATTATTATTATTATTATTATTATTTTCTTTGATTTCTGGCGTTTACACATTTCTTTCCGTTCTTTAGGTTAGAAATGGCATCATGACACTTTCCTCTGACAAAAAAAAAACAAAAAACAATTACATAGATAAAGCCCTTCGTAAAGTGTGGTCTGTACTTGTCAGAACATTTTTTTGTATCTCCTTGAGGCATGGGTTTCCAGGAATCCCTTCAATTAGTCTACTGCAATCTTTTCCAATCATTCCTAGGGCTCCAACTACAACAGGGATTGTTGATGTTCCCATGTGCCACATTTTCGAGATTTCTATTTCAAGGTCCTTGTATTTTGACAACTTTTTGAATATCTTCAAAGATACATTGCCGTCAGCAGGGACTGCCATATCAATAAGAAGACACTTTTTTGTTGTTTGTTGTCTTTAATAACAATATCTGGGCGGTTGGCTTTGATTGTTCTGTCAGTGTGTATTGTGTAGTCCCATAGAATTGTAACAGGTCCTATCTCCGTAACCAGGTCTGGGTGGTGTTCATACCATTTTCTTTCAGTTTCCTTCCCGTAGAAGTTGCAGATTTTCCAGTGCAGATATTGGCCCACTCTGTCATGCCGGGTTTTATATTCAGTGGGTGCCAATGTCGTGCAACCTGACACAAGATGATCAATCGTTTCTGGATATTTATCACAGAATCTGCATTTTGGGCTGACACAATATTTTAGTACATGTGCTTGATAATACCTAGTTAGCAAGCATTGGTCCTGTGCAGCTATGATAAAACCTTTCAGTTTCAGCTTTCAACCCTGCACTACGTAGCCACTAATGGGTAAGGATTTTGTCTACGTCAACTTGTTTGGTACGGGCAGAGTATTATTATTATTATTATTATTATTATTATTACCGTTAGCATTTATCATTTGCTTATCCCTTTCCTTTTATTCTCCTTCTTCTATGATCCTTTCATCTTCATTCCTTCCACACTTCCTTAATTATTTCTTCCGAATTTCCCTCCTTGCTTGTTTTCTGTATTTGTTATTATTGACTTCATTTTTTGCATCTGTCTGTTATTCTTTTTGTTATTGTTATCTTATTTTTCATTCTTCTTTCATTATTTTCTGACTTACGGCCAAAACACGTTGAAACCGCTTGGGTATAGCAGGTGTTGTAACCTTCGATGTGCGGATGGTGTAAAGGATAATGATTTGGAATTATTAATCGAAGACCAGTGTTCCAATTCCTGTTGTGTCGGTTACTTTCACTAACGTGAGTATACCATTGGCATCCACCCGCAATGCTAAGGGTTAATTAATAAGACCTGTATCACTAAATTATCATTACCTAAAAAAACAAAAATGAGGTTCTTGCAGTCTACAAATATTTTTCTGGCTTTAAATAACCTCCAAAGGGTTGATAAACCGTAGAAAACAAATCAATCAATCTATCTTTATTTTTTTTTCTCTTTTCGTTTCTTTTATTATTATCTCGTTTCCTGTCCTTTATTTTTTTTTTCGTTCCTTCCATGTTTTCCACACTTATTTTTCTAGATTTATTTACTCTCATTCTTCATCTCTTCTAATTTTATTCTTTCCTTCTCGCATTCTATCATACTTTTTTTTCTCATTCAGTTTTTCTCTTTTCTGTTCTTTTTTTTCCTTCCTTCCATTTGTTTTCTCTTTCATTTTCTCTCACCTTCTCTTACCTTCTTTCCCGCTCACCTAGATGTATTACCGTAATTCCCTATGTATACCAATCCTTCCTTCATAATACGCACCCCTAACTTTGTGCTGAAAATGTGGGAAACTGCTTCAACTCGTGCATAATACGCACCTTTTGTTTGGTAATCAAACCCTATAAATTGTACCTCTCCAATTTCATTACAACTAACGTTTCTTACTCTTATTAAAAAGCATGGTTTTAAACATAGAATATTTTTATTTTAATTTAGTCTTATGATAATTCTTATTTTATTTTAGGGCAATTTTTTAAAGATTTTTTGTAGCTGTGTAAAAATAAGCACCCCTGATTTTGCTTATTATTTTTTTAGAAAAAAAATGCGTATTATACATGGGGAGTTACAGTATTCCTTTCTTTCCTCTATTCCGTTTTTATTTCTTGCATTTCTTTTTCTGTCCGGCTTTTCTTTTTTTAAAATATTTATTGTTTCCTTCTCTCATGCCTTTTTCACTTATCGCTTCTCTCACTATTTTCTAATTCCTTTCCTTCATTCTTTCCTTCCTTCACTACTTCCTTCACTACTCTTTGCATCCTTCATTTATTCTTTCCTATGGTTATTCTTTCCTTTCTCGCTTTCCTTCTTTTTTCTTTCTCTCATTCCGTTTCTCCTGCTCTCCTTCCTCGATTTTCCCGTTTCTCTTTCTCTATATCTTTCTTTTATTATTTCCATCTTGGGTAAGACGATAAACTACGTCCGTGTCCTGGGTAAGACGATAAACTACATCCAACAGCAAGGCCTCGAATCAGGAGGTTTTAAGGAGCGTAGAACAGTCTCTTAATTTCTGATGTTCCCAGGTCCATTCTGATCCGGCTCGGTAGCACCTGGTAGGGTCCCAGCTATGGATAAATAGTTAACCTAAGTTTTAATACCAGAAATACTTTGTAAAAATTATTAACAGCAATACATTTTTGAAACAGTAAATATTACCCGCAAATAAAATCTTGTCGGCATTATTTAATTTGATATGCCATAAAACAAAATAAAGCATACCAAAACTTCATTATTTCTTTTTTTTTAATTTTCCTTCTTTTGTTGTTCGTTTCTTTCTTTGCTTAATTTCAATTTACCTTTCATTCTTTCTTTTTTTCCTTCTCTCTCACTCACTTTCGTTTATTCCTCTCATTCTTTATTCTTTCTTTCCTTTTTCTTTCTTTCGTTCTTCTTTCTTCCATTTTTTCCTTGCTCTCCTTTCATTCACGTCCTTTATTTATTCCTTCTTTCCTACGTTCTTTACTTAACATTTATCCACCCTTTTTTTCCTTCTTCCTCCAGTCTTTCATGTTTTTCTTACTTTATTATTTACTTTTTCTTTCATTCCTATCCTTTTTTTCATTTCGGTCCTTCATTCAGTATTTTTTCTTGTATTTCTTTTCAATGTTCCTCCTTTTTTTTCTTTTTCAACCTTCAATATTTCCTTTTCTCTTTCTTTATTCTCTTGTCCTTTCTTTTCTCCTGTCTCTCCTTCTTTTCTTTCTTTAATATTCCCTATTCTCTTTCCTTCTTCTCTTACGCCTTCATTCCTTCTGCCTTTCCTTCTTTCCACTTGTCTTTCCTTCTTTTCTTCTTTTATTATTTCCTGCTCTCTTTCCTTCGTCTCTTCTCTCTTCTTTACTGCCTGTCTTTCCTTCTTTCCTCTTGTCTTTCCATTCTTTTCTTCTTTCAATATTTCCTTCTCTTTTTCGTTTTTCTCTAATCCCTTCTTTGCTTCTCTCTCTCCATCTTTCTCTTGTCTTTCCTTCTGTTCTCCCTTCATTATTTCGTTCTCTCGTTCCTTCTTCTCTTCTCTCTTCTTTCCACTTTCCTTCTTTCTAGTTGTGTTTCCATATTTTTTTTCTGAATTATTACATTTTCTCTTTCCTTTACTTATCCCTCCTTTTCGCTTATCTTTCCTTCTTTCCTCTTTTTTCCTTTCTTCATTATATCTTTCTCTCTTTCCTTCTTCTCTTATCCCTCCTTTCCCACTGTCTTTCCTTCTTTCCTCCTGTCTTTCTTTCTTTCGAATTGTCTTTCTTTAATTCTTCTTTCATTATTAACTTCTCTTTTTTCCTTTTTCTCGTATCCATTCTTCCTCTCGTCTTTCCTTCTTTCCTCTTCTTTCTTTCTTTTCTTCCTTTATTATTTACTTCTCTCTTTCCTTCTTTTCTAATCCTTTCTTTCCTGTTGTCTTTCCTTGTTTCCTCTTGTCTTTCCTTCTTTTCTTCCGTTATCATTTCCTTCACTCTTTCCCTCTTTTCTTATCCCTTCTTTCCTTTTGTCTTTCCTTCTTTCTTCCTGTATTTCCGTCTTTCCTCTGGTCTTTCATTCATTTCTTCCTTCATTATTTCCTTCTCTCTTTCCTTCTTCTCCTATCACTTTTTTCCTACTGTCTTTTCTTCTTTCCTCTTGTCTTTCCTTCTTTCCTCTTGTCTTTCTTTCTTTTCTTTCTTTGTTATTTCCTTCTCTCTTTCCTTCTTTTATCATTCCTTCATTCCTATTGTCTTTCCTTCTTTCCTCTTGTCTTCCCTTCTTCCTTTATTATTTCCTTCTATATTTCCTTCTTTTCTTATCCCCTCTTTCCTCCTGTCTTTCCGTCTTTTCTTCCTTCATCATTTCCTCTTCGCTTTCCTTCTTTCGTTCTTTATATCTTTCTTTCTTTGCATCCTTCCTTGCCTTCCTTTATGCCTTTTCGATTTCTTTCTTTTCGCAATTTACTTTTCTTTCAATCTCATTCGTTCGTTTGTTCCGTTCTTCCTTTCTTTCTTCCTTCCTTCTGTTTTTATTTCTTCCATTTCTTTCCTGTCTTCCTTTATGTTTTCCTTCTCTCCTACGTCCTTCTTTCTTTCCTTCTTTTCTTCCATCAGCTCCTTCTCTTCATTTTTTTTTACCATGGGAACTTACATCCCTTTAGTTCAATTTTAATGACAATAAAAATGACTTGTGTATCTAACGACGTCTTGTACCGACACTTGTCACCTATGATTTCCCCGAGGCACTATGAAACCATTTTTTACTACATTCTCACCGATAATAACAAGTGTTGAAAGCAATTCGGTAAATCAAGAATTCGCTCTGGGATCTCTTCGAGAGTAAATAAATCTATTACTTCGCTTTTCCATCGGTTCTTTTTCTACCCATCCACCTACACAACAAAAACGAAAGAAAGAAGGCAAGATATAAAAATTAATGTCGAAAACAAAAAGTATAAATTTGACAAGGGAGAAAATAACATCAGCGATAAAAATTCATTGTATTTGTATTCATTGATTTCTTATTTTAAATACAGAAACTAAAAATTTCGGACGAAATATCATTGACGTTACAAAATTGTTCCTTGCGTGAAAAAAATATAGTTGGAAGCCATTTTTGTTGTTCTTCTTCTTTTTCTTCCATTGTGACTAGTACATTTACTACTAGTATTCGATAGCATCATTATCAAAAAGAAATGTACTCTGGTTATTATTTCAGCGGAGCCAAAAGATGAAGACATGATCTTCTTCTTTATTTTCCGTATTTCTGCAGCTTATAGGCGATCATGGCCATCCACATCTTCCTGTCACTTGTTGCTCTTAATAAATTTTGTCTTTTTGCTATTCCTCCCAAACCCTGTTCTACTATTCATTTACACAAACCCATCATATTACACATTGTTTTCCTCTATGCCTTTTTCTATTAATCTGTCCAGTGAGTATCAGATTTTCTAAGAACTCCTTCCTAAATAGGTACCCCAAAAATTTAAACTGCATCTTCCTGGCTATAAGTTTTCTTTTTTGTTTCAATTTTATCTAAAACCTCGTTGTTGCTCAGCTGTTCGCTCCATGGTAAGTTCAACATCAGATTTCTCTTGCTTCAATTCTCTGCTTCATCTTTGTTCAGCATTCACTGCTATATACGAGGACAGATATCACGTAACAATTCAGTACTCTTTTCTTTGTTTCTAACGAAGTTTACTGCTCTAAAATGCCACGTCAGTTTTCCCTCTTTTCACAGAAGAATGCAATCGTTTTAATGGGTAGCAAAAGAAATTCACTTCCTTTAACTACTCAATCAGTTAAGTACCACACGTGATGCACGCATGGGTGATCATGTCGCTTTCGATCCATGACTGAAAAGGCATAAGATTTACCAGCAGTTGGTTGCCATTTTTTCTACGGTAGATTGGTTGCCAACCAAGGCTATAGGACCCAGTTTTTCTTGCTATTTGACTCGTATCTAGGGGAATTAGATGGTTTCACACCCAGTCCAAGACTATTTGCACATAAGTGAATCCAACGGGCAACCCAGGAATTCCAACAACTATCAAGATAAATAAAGCTGATTTCAGGGCTAGCATGTTGAACAGATCTACTTCCACAGATATCACCCACCTCGCGCCTAGCAGGCTTAATGCACCCTCTGTAACAGCTAGCAAGATGAAGACACATGCTTTAAGCTAGTGCTGAATCTACCTGCTTTCATAGCAAGCAAAAGGGATACAGCTGCTTTCAGATCGCGCAATAAGAATGCACCTGCATTCACACCTAACAAGATGGATACGCCTGCTTTCAGATCGGGCAACAAGAATGCACCTGCATTCACACCTAGCAATATGGATACGCCTGCTTTCAGATCGGGCAACAAGAATGCACCTGCATTCACACCTAGCAATATGGATACGCCTGCTTTCAGATCGGGCAATAAGAATGCACCTGCTTACACACCTAGCAATATGGATACACCTGCTTTCAGATCGGGCAACAAGAATGCACCTGCTTACACACCAAGCAAAGATGGATACACCTGCTTTCAGATCGGGCAATAAGAATGCACCTGCTTTCACCTAGCAAGATGGCTACATCTGCTTTCCGCTCATGGAATGCACCTGTATTCACATCTAGCAAGATGGATTCTGCTTTCAGATCGGGCAACAAGAATGCACCTGCTTACACACCAAGCAAGATGGATACACCTGCTTTCAGATCGGGCAATAAGAATGCACCTGCTTACACACCTAGCAATATGGATACGCCTGCTTTCAGATCGGGCAACAAGAATGCACCTGCTTACACACCAAGCAAGATGGATACACCTGCTTTCAGATCGGGCAATAAGAATGCACCTGCTTACACACCTAGCAAGATGGCTACATCTGCTTTCCGCTCGCGCAAGAAGAATGCACCTGTATTCACATCTAGCAAGATGGATACGTCTGCTTTCAGATCGGGCAACAAGAATGCACCTGCTTACACACTAGCAAGATGGATACACCTGCTTTCAGCTCGCGTAAGAAGAATGCACCTGCATTCACACCTAGCAGTATGGATACGCCTGCTTTCAGATCGGGCAACAAGAATGCACCGGTATCCACACCTAGCAAGATGGATACACCTGCTTTCAGCTCGCGTAAGAAGAATGCACATGCATTCACACCTAGCAATATGGATACGCTTGCTTTCAGATCGGGCAACAAGAATGCACCTGCTTACACACCTAGCAAGATGGATCACACCCGCTCGCGCAAGAAGAATGTACCTGTACCTGTATTCACATCTAGCAAGATGGATACGCTTGCTTTCAGATCGGGCAAGATAAATGCACCTGCTTACACACCTAGCAAGGCGGATACACCTGCATTCAGACTGAGCAAAATATATGCACATGCTTTCGTGGTTATCAAGAATAGGCATGATTTCTCTGCAAGGAAGATAAATGCACCTGCCTTAACAATATCAGACGTCTAGCACCCGTCTGACTCTTAGCAGGCTAAAGACACCCTCTTTAACTGCTATCTGGAAAAATATAGCTGTTTTAATATTATGCAAAGGCTTTCACATCTAGCAAAGTGAATACACCTGCTTTCAAATCGAACAAAGAGTACCGACCTACTTTCACACCTAGCAAGATGAAGACGCCTGCTTTCAAATCGAACAAGATAAATGCACCTGCATTCACAGCTAGCAAGATGGATACACCGGCTTCCAGATAGAGCGAGATGAATGCGCATGATTTCGCGGCTACCAAGAAAAAATTTGCATGACTCTCTGTAACGAAGATAAATGCACCTACCTTAACAATATCAGCCTTCTCGCACCTATCTCCCTCCTAGCAGGCTAAATATACCCTCTTTAACTTCTAGCAGGAGGAATACAGCCGTTTTAAAATTATGCAACTGCTTTCACACCTAGCAAGATGGATACAGCTGCTTTCAGATCGGGCAATAAGAATGCACCTGCTTACACACCTAGCAAGATGGATACACCTGCTTTCAGATCGAGCAAGATAAATACACCTGCTTACACACCAAGCAAGATTAATACACCTGCTTTCAGTTCAAGCAAGAAAAATGCACCGGTATTCACACCTAGCAAGATGGATACACCTGCTTTCAGATCGAGCAAGATGAATTCATATGCTTTCGGCCATATCAAGAAAACTGGGCTTCACTTTTCTGCAAGGAAGATAAATGCAGCTGCTTTAACAACTGGCAATATGATTACACTTGCTTTTAAGTCTAGTAGATGTTTTAGGAATTTGGTTTATGACTGTAATCATCATCTACCATACTTAACAAATCTTGATCCATCCGATTAGTTAAGATTTCCATAAACGTAAAATGGTTTGTAATTTGTGGGAATTATCAGAATGATTGCAGCATCAGTAGAGAAGTAATTCAGTAACCAAATAATGAATATATTTGAATGAAATGTCAGGTAAATATACCACTTGGTCTGGATGAGAACTTTAAAGCGACCCTTCTGTATTTTGAGTCCACGTTTTGGGGCTAAAATTTCTATATATATATATATATATATATATATATATATATATATATATATATATATATATATATATATGAAGTCCATGAAATACCAGAATTAAGTTTTCATGCTGAGGAAGGTCCAATGAGACGTACAATAGGTGAAAAGGGTTCTGGGAAACGAAGTCAGAACGTGGAACGATAAACTGTCTATATTCCTGAGATGAGGTATTATGTACAGTATTTACATTAGTCGGACTATTGTCCTCATCTTTGTCTAGAACAGTCTACCCCAGTGATCGAAATAAAGGGTTCAGTTCGAAATTCCAACCACCTGAAGAAGGCCGGAGCGTACAACGGCCGAAACGTTGTGACAAATATGGCGACAAAGATGAGGACAATAGTCCGACTAATGTAAATACTGTGGAATGATAATGTAGTCTATCATTTTGTAATGATTTAGGGACATCTGAAAAAACACTAGCTAACATTCTCTGTAACCAATATGTCGGATAAATTCGAAACCAGTTTGATGAAGCCAACAGAAGACATCGATTTGAAGTGTGGAGAAAAGCAATAAATAATATATACTACAATCAAAATCACTAGCGGTAGATTTGTCCTGGTATGAAAAAAACACGTCGAGTCACATTTCAACCCTGACCACACTAAGAAAATAAAACACATCAAGTCACATTTCAATCCTGACCACACTAAGAAAAACACATATCGATCCACATTTCAACCCTGACCACACTAAGAAAAGAAACACGTCGAGTCCCATTTCAACCATGACCACACTAAAAAATAAAACACATCGAGTCCCATTTCAACCCTGACCACACTAAGAACAAAAACACATCAAGTCACATTTCAATCATGGCCACACTAAGAAAAAAACATATCGATCCACATTTCAACCCTGACCACACTAAGAAAAAAAACACGTCGATTCACATTTCAACCATGATCACACTGAGAAAATAAAACACATCGAGTCCCATTTCAACTCTGACCACACTAAGAACAAAAGCACATCAAGTCACATTTCAACCATGACCACACTAAGAAAAAAACCTCTCGATCCACATTTCAACCCTGACCACACTAAGAAAAGAAACACGTCGAGTCCCATTTCAACCATGACCACACTAAAAAAATAAAACACATCGAGTCCCATTTCAAC